TATTATCTTCCCGTTTACAAGATGGTTCTTAAATTTTCCGAGGGAAATGACATGTCAAATTCTTTATTACGCTAAGTTTCTAGCGTAACTACCAAATTGAACTTGGATTGAAATAATGTAATTTAGTTGTGATGTATGACGGTTACTCAGTATTTCTTTGAAACGTTCGTTCTTGTTTACCGATGCAGAAATTTTATCTCTATGTCGTTGTATTTGTAGTTCAGATGCGTCATGTTTGTGTTGAAATTCAGTATATATTTATTTATTATAATCCAGTCTATACACAGACTTATTATTAAAATGTTGTTGTTAAAATTAAAATTAAGCGCTTTTCATCGTTATTACAAAACAAACAAAACAATAAATGGTTGCATTAATAAATATATATTAGTTTTAAAGATGAAAATGATAGTGAAGACCTGAGGATGATGCAATGGCATCGAAACATGTCGTAAAATAATAAGCGCTGAAATGTAACATCGTAATAACGATGAAAAGCGCTTAATTTTAATTTTAACAACAACATTTTAATAATAAGTTTGTGTATAGACTGGAATATAATAAATAAATATATACTCTATGTCGTACTTAACCATTTCACAACATTTATTCTAGAAATGGATTTAAAATGCACTTACCCAACTTTCATGCATGCTTTAACACTCATACCCAAATTAAGTAAGTTTAACGGGCATGAATGTCCAAGTGTGGGAGTAACTTTAGTTTCTGAGACGTGTCCCAATTTCATTTGAATGGCTGACGTCGTTGATTTATGTGTAATAGATGGCAGTGAAGCACGACATATGTAGATTTAGGACATCCGATATCGATTATTTGTGCATGCTGTTACAAATCATTTTCTTGTCACTGAAGACAAATCTTCGAATTTGTTAAGAGTTTCCATGATTTTCCTCCTAATTTGAATCTGTAGGGCGTATTCTGTTTCTGATCGCCCTTGACTTCATTCATTTTTTGCTTTCTGCGTTACGAAATTGTAATTTGATCCGCATTTGCGTGCCAATTATATTTTCTTTTGCCTATCAAAGACTTTGGTTTCAGAGAAAGTATCTTGAAATTATGATGTCGAATATGTTTTGATGGATGCTCATATCTAAGTTGGAGATGTATGTTTTGAACTGGTTACGTAACGACGCTGACACAACTGCATATATTATTTATCTTTGCCTTTTGTGTTGAACGGGAAAGTTCCAGCGAAGTAACAGCCGTGGTCTGTTATGTAATAAAGTCTTCTCGTAGCTTTTGCCTGGAGTGACTGAGGAAAGACACGAACCACATCTTGTTGTAACGAAGTTTCCTCCCAGGTACTAGTCAGGAGTATTACCAATGAACGTAACACACTTCATGCTGAATTAGAAACGAAACTAATTTTTATCCCACGACTGTATTTTTCTCTGATTAAAAGTTGTGGGTCTAGCAAACGCCACTCTTACGCTTGGATGTGCCGCTGTTTGTGACGTCAGAACGTCTGCGAAATGCCGTAAGGCATTCCATTAGGTCGAGGAAGCCACTCATGAGTTGTCTGGCCCTAAATATAGATTAGTCTCTATTACATATCGTTTCTGGCTGCTTCATTTTATTTTATGCCCAAGATATGTCTTTGGCACCTGCGCTTTTGTGATCTTTGGCTTTCGGTGACCCTCTCGTGTTCCTTTTTCATGGACAATTTATTTATAATCTGATATGCGGCTGTTACTCTGTTCTATTTATTATTCAAATTAATTTACATTTACACTTGATGCACTGGAATGTTCGATTTACATCTTTTCACTACTGCCAGGAGTACAAGGCTAGTTATTGAGATTTTCCTCCTGTTTCATATATGTCAACCTTTTTTAAAAAAAAACAAGGGCTGTTCTAGTAATCGGACGCAACCTGTAAATGACCTTTTTTACACCAAACATCGGGATATTGGCTCATAAAACATGTGGTACACAGTTTCATTTGTAATATTTTGTTATATAATATTTAGTACTTAGTGATTTATTTTCCCGCATTTTGTATACGTCTAATTCATGTTACTGCTGAGTGTGGGTGATTTTTTAGTAATACAATTTTTTAAAGTTATCAAATTCTCTTCAATGAAATATTTATTCTTCTCAATCATCCAAAATGTACTTTTGTAACACCCAAAAATTGGAACCTTTTCTTACTTTTACAATTTTTGTCAGGCCATTCAGACTCCAGCTTACTTGAATCAATCATCGCTAGGAACTTTTCAATCATTGTATTCTCCGGTCGAAAGAAACTTCTGATTCCTTCAGACTGCACATAAAATATAATTTGAAGAAAGTGTCGCAGAGCCAAGATAAGAAATAAAAGGAACGAAAATATACGAGATGAGATTGAAAAGGTTTCGCAGGAAGTGAGAAGATTTGTTGTGTGCACCACAAAAGTTATAGAGTGATCTGTGGCCGCTTCATCTGCAGTGAGAAATCGCAAGAGATGAAGAAGAAGATTACTTGTAAATGTTCTATTGTCAAGTCGCCTGTGATCTTACTATAAGCCGAAATGAAGATTGAGCATTACAGCGGAACGGGAGTCCGTAAAATGTCTCTGGAGTGGATCACGAAAGGCGTACGTGTTTTATCAGTCTGAAATTAAACCGAAATGTAGAGTTATATGATAAATCGTAGAATTTCATAGAATTATTGGAAATTCAAACCAGGTTAGGAGCTAGGACCGGTGGTAAACTTCTACAGACTACACTGCGCTACAACCCGGAAGACAGGCATCTTAGTATTCACCGACGTGACAACCCCAGATCCTAGGTAGGACATTGTTTAGAGCCGGCATGGTTAAACTTTAAGTAGCCGCTGGCCGGATATAGTTTTATAATCATAGCCGCGAGCCTTGGTATTACGTGTCAGGTAAATCATTCACCTTAGTATATAACGACCTAAGGTCATTGCTACGAAACAATGGTTTGGGATCACACTGGTGCAAGAATTACCGAAGACTCGAGAACGACTTGCGTGACGTGAAGAACGCCTATGGAATGTCAATGTGCTCCAAAGAGTAAAATTTTCCGGTCTTGTTAATTACGCTGTTTCTGTCCAATTCTGTTCATGGCTGAATGCTATTTTCTTAGAAGACATATACGGCACAGATGTGCTCGTGGTTAGAGTTTTAAAATATAACTAGCAGTTGCAATCTCTCGGTCTGATCATCTCGGCTGGACTCGCATTTTCACTACAGTGGCCTAGTGAGAAGTGTATATACAAAGCCTTGTCCACCTCTGCACATGCGATGTCAGTTAATGACTCTGGCTACCCAGACAGCTTATTGCTTGTTCAGATGTCTGCAGTGTTGAATGATATTGATGACGTCTTTTTGTTACACGGTATTGCTGTTTTCTTTTCAGATTATAACAGAATGATTGATTGGTGTTGTTTGACGTACGGAGAGTATCTGGCACCCGATAGGGAGATCATGAGTTTTGTTTTGTGGGGTTACCACTTTATACGTTTAAGCCAAGGGAGCCCACGCTAGTGTATGCAGAAAGCTAGAGGGTTAAGAGGCTGCTGAGAATTGCTAATCCTAAAGAAAGGGAAACTGCAAACTTCTGTCCAGTTTCGCGTTGCGTTATTATAGTGTAGTTGCACTACTGCATAGGCAAAGAGTATAAGATTATTCTGTTTACTATAATTGTAAGTATAATTATAGTGGTAAAAAGGCAAAGGATTTAGAACATTTAATGGGTTTATATGTAAATAAAATAGGTCAAGAAATATGTATTAACGGATGTAATTCTGTGGTGGAGGTATGTGGCCAGGAAGTTATGCCCCACCATTTTTAAGTTGTGTACGGCAGACTGAATAAATAAATAAATACATTAATCGTGGTTTGCGATATCCTGTCGCATACAAATGATAACGCGGATGTTGGAAGGTGGAACCTTAAATAGAATATCCTTGGATTAGGGAGATGTCTCATGGTAAGCGGTTGGTCAGGATAGGAGATTTAGTTGGGATGACAACACTAAGACAGGCACGTGGTACGTGACCTGGACTGGACCATTTCAGGAGTCTGGGACGGACAGACGGATGCTCGGCTGCTGCTCTGAAGAGCCCCCTCTGTATGTATGTGTATATATATATATATATATATGTGTATATTAATGAAAGTTCGTGCGAGAGAGATATTTGGCTTTAATTGCGAATGTAACGTGGGCGTCATGATTTTGTAAGGTTTTGGGCATGCTGGTTTTCAGGATAGCTGGGGTGGTGTGGTGGATGAATGCGTAGCAGATGGGGTCAGTTTCCTTAATCTGGTGCGGATGTGTTTCTGGACATCGACTGTTGTCGAACTGTGACAACGGAGTGGATGAGTGGAGTTAGATTAACAGCAGGCGTAAGCATTCTCTTCGTCACCACATCTAAAGCGGCTTCTGGGTCAAGCTAATCCATACCTTAGTACTTACTGGAGGTCCTTCCGCTGGAAGTAAAGTGGCCCAATGCAGCTCTAAAACAGAGGGATTGAAGGGCGTGGAAGGTCAAACCAGGGACAGAAAGCGCTGAAAAGAGGAGATTACAAAACTCAGAGCTGCCTATGAATGGTAGATGTTCTCTGACGTCACCGTTTGGCCTTGGTCTCTTGTCATTAGGCTGCACCATTAACGTTTTAACAAACGCTCTGACGTTACGTTACGTAGAAAGTAATTACCGTTCATATTCTAGCTTCCTCATTATGATGTACGATGTTGATGTCTTAGTTTGACTTCTTATAAGCAGACTCTCAAAAGTCGGTTGCTCCGAAACAATGTTGTCACGGATTGGCCGTTATGATAATCATGAAAACGTTCTGCGGAAAATCTTGCTATGAATACGCAAGACATTCGCTCAGGTATGGCGATGAAATGCGTGTTTGCTTTTTTAATATAATGAACGTCAGATGAAGGCGTTATCAGCCAAAAGACAGACATGAACGTCTTCACGCAGTGAGGCCCTCAAATCTCTAAAACTGGTTTATTCTTCTTGCAGGTTTTGATGGTGCGCTCGTGTCCGCCGGTTGCCGACGTTGCTGTTATCTAAGCTATGGGCCGCTTATGGTGAGTCGAGTGAATCAAATTTTTATGAAATGGAATCCCTGTGTACTTACTCATGTAATGCGCTAAAAGATTCGAATTCTCCTACTAATTGTATTGCTCCCATTGTTACATTCTAAACTGCTTGTTTTATGTTCAAAATGTTATACTTATCTACCCAATTTAATAACGAATGATATAGAGTTAATGTAAAATATGTCCTGTACTTTGAGCGATTTTATTAAAAGACATAAATCAAGGAACACAGTAGTAATTTGGAGTAGAAAGTTGAGAATCTGTAAGGGTATGAAATATATATATTTTATATTAGTAGGGGAACTGAAGAGAGTTAAAGGAGAAGAGTGCATAAAGCACGTGTTTCTGAGTAGTGTGACGTAAATTATAAGGGGGCAAGTCGAAAATGTCTTGTTCCGTGAAATGAGTTTTATGATATCTTCTTTGGGAGAATAATGTAGATTGTGTTTGAGAGCTAATTAAGCCTAGTGAAGACAACACTCGAGCCTAAGAAAAGGACAGAGAAACTGCTTAATGAGGAGCTTTATAATTTGATATTATTAGGGTGGTAAAAGGAAAGAGGGTGACATGGGCGGGATATGTAGCACACATGCTAGAGATGTGAAATGGGCACAGCATTTTAGTCGGAAAATGTGAAGGGAAAGTCTGCTTGCGAAACGTGTATGAAGCTGGGAGGGAAAAGAAAAACTACCCAGTGGATTTTAGAGAAATAATGTACGAAAGTGTGGATTGGATTTATCTGACCCAAAAAAGGATCCATCGGCTGACTTATGTGAACATTAGTAATCAGATTTGAAGGTTTCTGACGATGGTGTGTTATGAAGTGTAAAATTATTGTTTTGGACTTCGTTCATGGTCTAAATTATAAAATGACGTTTCGAAACTTGGATTCTGCTTCTGTCATCAGGTAAAAAAATGGGGCAGAGTACAGAAAACGTATCTGTTGGGTTCCTTGGCTGAGTTAGCCTCAGACCTGAACGTTTGAGTTCATTGAAGGCGTGTAATTTATTCACCAACTGAATAACCATCAACGTTTCAACGATAGCGCTGCGTCGTGGAGTTAGTTCGTGTACTGCCAGGATCTCCTGTGCTCTGGATTGATAACGCCTGTCCTAAACCATGTTGTTGGAGCCAGAAGCTAGTAAACGGAATTTAGTGAACTCTGAAGAAAGACTGAGTGTTGTGAGAATGTAAAACTTTTTCTTCTGCGACGTCGTTGATTAACTAAGGGACTGACAAAGTAGTTGCTTTGAAAAAAATATTCTTCCTGTGAGAACTCGTTAGGTGGGAAACCATAAAGAATGTATTTTTGTCAAATTCAGTGGTAAGAATTCTAAACGACGTACTTGATGCATTGATGGCGAAGAGGATTGTTAGTTATTAATTAAATTTTGCAAGATGCTAGCTGCAGCCAATTATACGGCAGAACTTTGAAGTTAAAAATAATATTCTTTGAATTTATAATTAAGCTGTGTTCTAACCCGCTCGTTTACTGCCACAGCAAAAGCGATACGTAATATTTGTCATGCATTATCAAAGCTTCAGTAAGACTTTGATAATAGGATATTCTTGACGCTTACTTTTTCTTCAAATGCTCCAAGAACTATAAATTGATAATTACAGCTTTCAGTGTTCCCCCCATCTCTGTCTAGTACAGATATCCTCCGCTCATATTTGTTTGATAAGACTTTTGTGTTTTGCACTGTCGTATTGTTGGTAATTGTAAACACGTAACGAATGCTTCTGTTGGTAGATATGTTTAGTACCTGTCTCCATGCTACATTTCACTATCCTTGCTCAGTAATTTATTGTTTGTCACCATCGAACGGAAAGCCGTATTGTGTTGCTGCTTTCGCGGCTGAAAGTTGTATAAATTTGTGCGATAACTTCACCATGTCTCCTTGTTGTTCTATCTGGCCGTCCGCCAGTTTTCACGTAAAAACTGGTGTGCTGATATTCATTAAATTTTATATTGGAGGAATTTTCCAAAAAAAATTCGATGATCTGGTTGTGACGCGGATTTGTATGTGGGTATCAACGTTTCCATGAATCATACTGCTCCATCTTCTGCGTTGAAGATGGCGCCATTTGTTGTCTAATCCCCACAAATTTCACCTACTTCACTTTCATCTAATCAGACTTTTCACAAATTGCGTGGAACGAAGTTTTGGGATGTTAATACTCCGCGAATGTAATGAAACTTGAAGGTTTTATTATCCTGTAATTGAGAGTCCACCAGTGGACCCTATCTTACGAGGTGCGATCGGAAAGTTTCAAGACTGCGCCTATAAAAACCCGTACACTTATCTCAGGTATTAAATTCATCCATCACCCT